TACGTATTGTTTTACATTTTTACACGCTAATGATGTTTTTACCATTAATGTGTAGGAGTAGTAGTTAGAATTAAGAGTTTGTGTACAAGTATAAACCTTTCCTAATTGCAAGTTTAAATCTATTTCATGAAGTATCTAAATAAATTTTAAGTACTATAACGTTACATAGAAATATAGAATGAGATCATCTAACTAATTAATTTGGTATGTAAAGAGTATGATGTATGATCACTATGACGTCAACCACACATAGTAAAGTATTTATATTGGTTATTTTACTTAAGTTTTTCCATTTTTTTTTCATTTCATTTGCTTTCTAGCTGCTCAACCATTGGTCCAATAATAACCTTTAACAAATACACTTATACCAACGCAAACATTGAACATATATTAACATTAAGTTTCAAGCATGTTTTAATATTACCTCCGTTAACAGTTATTTGGAACATATATTATAAATGGATGCTAATTATTATGTGTAACAAATGTTTTTTTTTCCTTTTTAGGTAATCATTTATCTCTATGTCTCTCCTCATCACATGCACCCAACTTTTTCTCTCTCCATTTTACTCTCACAAATAAATTTTGCCTAGGAGGCCGCAAACACATCCTTTGTTGCAAATAATAGTTAACGGAGGAAGTATTATGGATTCTAATAATAGTAGTAACAAATATTAATGTATCTCAACAGTCAACATCCCCAAATCCTCCTTTCTTTTTGATTGAAATCATACGTTTGTTGATCGTATACAAAGTATATAATATATATAGAGTATTAAATACTAAACTTTACGATTATGATTGATACTCTGTATTAGTTAATTTAACCCAGTATTTGATTAACAAAAATTATCCTTAATATTTAATAGAAGAAAATAATTAATAGCATAATCAGCCAAAGAAAAAGAGGCAAATGGCTAATAAAATGAAGGCATATTACCTAACAAAAGCATATAATAATGTAAGGTAGCCCTCCAACATGTCCACTGGCCCATATCATGTATGTTTCATGTTTGGTAGATGAATAATGAATGTCAATGCAAATAAACTTACTCCATTGTATTATTTGCTGTTAACTAAACTGGACTTGTCACATCCTAACTTAGCTTGGTTCTTTCCCTCTGTCTCTTACGCATGACTTTTGAATACTCTTCAATTTTGAATCTCCAAACTCTATTTATTACACACGTATTAACACTCACCTATCAACAACATCATCATCACTCATTATATTAACTTCAGCATTAGCATTAACATTCACTACCAAAAAAAATGAGAATAGGCAACACTTAATATTGCAACACTTACAGAAATGTTACTCTTAATAATCTAACGCAACAATACTTATTTGTTACCTTGAACTAAAGTAACAGAAAAAAAAAGTGTTGCTCTAGACTATATAAGGCAACAGTCGCTTAAAGTGTTACCTTTTTCTTGTCTAAGACAACAAATATAATAATTGTTGCATGAAAAGATAACAATAACAAAACTATTGTTTGAAAAATGTAACATTAATATCTATGTTGTCATCTATAGCAACATTTATATTAAAATGACAACATATATATATATATATATATATATATATATATATATATATATATATATATATATATATATATATATATGAGCAAGTTTGGTAGAGTTAGTGGGGAACTTATCTTGTGACTACTAAATGTTTGGGAGTGACAACATTTTTGTTTTAGCTACAAGGCAACACTTTTTTTATATTAGACAATGGTTTTGCATTGTTACCTTTGCTTTATTTTGTTGTAGTGATTATTGCAAAACTTCAACCTGATTTTTTATGTTACGATTTAGGACATGTTAGAGTTGAGGATCGGGGATCTAATATATATTAAGGCAGTATTACGAGTATTACATAGTAGGTGATAACATAAGAGAATATACGGAAAACTAAGGGTCGGTTCTCATTGACTGAAATGAGCTGAGCTGAACTGAACTGAATATTTTATGAGAGAAGGAAATTAGGAGCTAAACTGAATTTATTAGAGCTAAACTGAACTGAAAATAATCCATTTGTTCGTTAAAGAAGGGAGAAATATATAGCTCACAAGTTGCTGAAGTTCGACTCAAGCCCATAGTGAAGCTTCTTATGTATGTATGGGTAGTTAGATTTGCTCTTAGGTATGTTTTTCCAAATTTAACTATAATGGAAACTTTTATACTCCGGAATTTTTATTCATTTACAATTTACATATCGAGTACAAATTAACACTTCATCATTGAATTAAAGCATTGACTAACATGAAAATCAAAATGTTGTTGCTAGAATTAGTAATTAATAGGAATTTTAATGGAGGGTGGGACAAAGCACTAACCAGATACTTTGGAATTGAACGAAAAGCACTGTGTTGCTAAACTACTGCTGATTCATGTCGGACGTCATGACTAAGTATATGAAAAATTAGCAACACAAGAAACAGTGAAGCACCAAAGTAGATTATTTGTTCTGGAATAAATAGGACACGTGGGTCCATTTAACTTGTATTCTGTGGTGTAATTGTGTTATGTTGTGCTTTGGACAATATACTTTAGTTTGCTAACTACATTAATTCTTAATTAACTCACATAATTATTTGTTGATACATTATGCTTAACAAGTACAACAGTACAACTGAGTATTATTAGCATGTGCAAACTTGTAAGTTCCTAACATAACACACCCTTAGCTGTAAAACTGTTAAAGATAATCCATTTTTTAAAGTAAATTACAAATATTTTATTCTACTAGTAACAACTACTTGTGGAAAATCTTCTCATATCTGAGACAAGAAGAAAGGTCCGATCTGATGGATAGGATACTCCGTATTATAATTTGCTTGTACAGAAGATACGTTGGTCATTTTCTTATAACGGTGTGTTGATGTATTCGATAATACTCATACTTCATATTACAATAACATTTTATGGTTGATACATGCAATGACATATCTTGGCCTTTTTGCTAAAAAATAACAATACTTAATTACTGTGTCATAACTTTTTAAGTGTAATTATTAGACATTATATCAGTTAACACCAATAACGTAGAATATTAAGGGGGGGGGGGGGGGAGCCCCGACCAGCCGCAATAAAGGTCCGCTCCTGGATACATATGTATTGGATACAAAATAATGTATTTAATACAAGTTAATTGTTTTTCTATTTCAACTTTACTATAAAAACTTCCTGTCATGAAGATAATCACAAACTCGTGCAACTATGCAAAGCTTTTAAGTCATGAATGGCTAATGGCTAAGAATAAGATCATGGTGCGCGACACACTCAAGCATTATGCAACTATCAAATGACTATTTTGCCCTTTTAAAATAATTAAGTAAAACATGGTTTTGGCCACAACTCAAAAGCCACCAAATATGATTAGGATAAGCCCCACCAAAGAATATAAAATATGTTTTGTGAAGTTAATTCTTTATTCCATTGGACAAAAAGTATAATAAAATCACAAAGAAGACGTATTAAATCACCTATATTACGACTCGAAATTGCTAAAAAGAGGGGAGAAAATCTTCTCCCTAATCACGCCTAAATGCACATGCTTGAGCGTATGATGTAATTCTTGCACCAAAAAGTTCTCCATTGTGGACTCCTTTTGCAAAAAGCAAAATTATGATATCGATATGTTAGGGCATACCGGCAAATCTTAGATCTTATAGTTTGTATTTGGTATTACCTCCGTTTTATATTATTTGCAACGATTTAATATAAAGTAGAGAAGAAAAATGTTTAATCGTTGCAAATAATATAAAACTGAAGTACTAATTAATTTTAGGAAATTTTGACTATTAATACCATCAGATACATACTTTGATTTTTGGTACATATTTAAAGTTTTATTTTATTTTGCTACCACAAAAAATCTAAAATTTTACTTCCTCCGTTTTCTTTTACTTGCAACACAACTTTTAAACATGTAGTTTTAGGAGGTGATTAATGAAGGTAAACAAACTTTTTTAAAAATATAATTTTAACACTAGGATTAGAAAGGGATTAAGTATCATCACTTAAAATTATTTTGATTAATTTAGTTGTTTACATTATCCAATTTCGACCTTAAAGTGTGTGCCACAAAACTTTGTACGTAGCAATTATTTAGATACCGAAAAATTGATTTTATTATGTTAAAGTTCGGATTATTATAAGGAGAAGTGAGTACTACTTCATATATAAGTTGGGATTATGTAAAAAAAAATGGGTCAAAGTATTATTATAAGTTCCACTGAATAGATTTTGTATAACAACATAAAAATTTCAAGTTTATCAAGGTAAATAGAATGAGTCCATGACACAAGTGGAGGGGAATTGGGGGAACTTGTAAGCAGAGAAATTTACTGAAGTAGTGAATAGTAGTACGAATTTGTTGAGCCCATGAACAACCTACATGTGAGCATTCTTCTTGTCCCACACTAAAAACACTAAACAGTAAAAGGGGGAGTGTAGTGGTAATGAAATCCCACATTGAAAGAATTCAAGATTTACCACCACAATATAAGGCTAAGGGGCTACTCCCCGAATCCCCTCATTGCCATATGGTTTTGAGGTGGAACCTTTTTGGTATTGTGAAGTGGTGGACTTGCACTCTCCCGTGACGGGTGCGGCCCAGACCCGTATTTAACAGAATTAGACCCTGTTTTTTAGAGTCGTTCTGCGCTGTTCTGCTCTACTCTACCATGCTCTGCGCTGTTCTGCAGTGTGTGGAAGCCTAGCCCTGCTATGCTCTACTCCGCTATGCTGAAATCTGCTCTACTTTGTCCTGCTGTGCTCTGCTTTGCCCTGCCCAAAAGCTCAAAAGAACAGGGCCTAAAAGGTATGTTCTCTTCAGCTTAATTTCAGTTCAATTCATTTTAGCTCCAATCAGTTCAGTTTTAATTTCTCTCTCTCATAAAATATTCATTTCATTTCACCTCTAAATAGTCAATTCCTAATTTCTTTCTCTTGTAAAATATTTAGTTTAGTTCACTTTACTTTGCTTCAATTCAGCTGAGGAGATCAGAATAGGCCGTAACTACGGTAATACTAATACAGACATTGAGTACATAGTAATCCGTAAAACAAACGAAAAACTAAGCGCAGAATGACGCATTCACCCTCGAATTCCATTCATTTCCATATTTCTTTCCTGAATTTCAGTTTCAATTCTCCCTGAAACCAACACCAAAAACAACCAACCCAATACAAAATTCAAACTCCCACCTTCTCCACACTCTCTCTCTCTCTCCTAAATTAAAATCAAACTCCCCCAAAAATCACAAAATTAACCCACCAAATACAAATTCAAACCTATGAAAAAACACCACCACCGTCAACACCACCACATCTCCGCCGTATTCCTCCTCCTCATCCTCCATGTCCACCCCTCAACCTCAGATCCAAGCGACGAAGCCTGTCTATCCCAACTCTTCGCCTCCTTCCAAGACCCGGCCCATAATCTAAAAAACTGGACCCAACCCAACTTCGCCAACCCATGTAACGGCTTCGACTCTCACCTCCAAGGTGCCACTTGTAACAACGGCCGCATCTTCCGCCTTTCTCTCTCCTCTCTCTCACTCCAAGGTACCATCTCTCCTTCTCTCTCTAAATGCAATAATCTCCAAACCCTTGACCTCTCCTCCAACTCTCTCTCCGGCGAGATCCCTTCCGAGTTAAAAGACCTTTCTAACCTCGCCGTCCTCAATCTCTCCGGCAACCGTCTCTCCGGTCAGATCCCTCCCTCTCTCTACCTCTGCGCTTACCTTAATGTCATCGACTTACATCGGAACCAGCTAGTGGGACCCATTCCTCAGCAACTAGGTCTCCTCGTACGACTCAACACTTTCGATGTGTCGTATAATAAGTTGTCCGGGGTGATTCCGCCGTCGATTGGGAATCGGAGTGGGACGTTGCCGAGGTTTAATGCGACGTCGTTTCAAGGGAATAAGGATTTGTACGGATATCCCTTAGAACCGTACAAAAATAGAGGGTTGTCTGTGATGGCGATAGTTGGAATTGGGCTTGGAAGTGGGCTTTTGAGCTTGATTGTTAGTTTTACAGTTGTTTGTATTTGGTTAAAGGTTTCTGAACAGAAGATGGCTGCTGCTGAAGAAGGCAAGATTAGCCACCATATGCCTGATTATTGATTTTTTTTTTTCTTTTTTTAAATTTTATTTGCTGGGAAATTGTTTGTTAGTATAAGAAAAATATAGGTTGTTTAGTTGACATTTTTCCAGTTTGTATGAATTTGATCTTAGTCGCTACTGATCTTCATTTTCAGAGGGAGGGGAATTGAATTATGGTTTTGTTAATTGATTTGACTTTTTTTTTTTTTTTTTTTTTTGGGTGGTTTTAAAGGATTTTTTTTTAAGTTCGGAAATCGACAATGTACAAAGAAAAGAATTCAACATGTGAGAGATTCATAAATTAGTACAGTACCAGTATATACCAGTTTATGTTGAATGCATCCAATTATTATTACTCGTTTATTTTTTGAATTCTTTCCTTTTCTTATTACTAGTACTACGTATTATTGTCGTGTATGGTTAAAAAAATTGTTGTGTGAATCAAAATTTACGGCCTTGTTTGACAATTATCGTCCTAAATTGCCTAATGTAATGGACATTCTCTTTGCCTTCCATTTAATTGTTGGGTTTATTAGTTGTTTTAATTGCGATTGTGCTAGTAGTTGAGACCTACAAGAAATTCCGTATGATAACTTTAGGCTGTCATGTTTTCCACCAAGATGATTATCTTTATCAAACTTAATTAAATTGTCTGAAATTATATTATCGGATTTGTCATATCATATACAACTGTACAAGTACTATGTTATTGTTCTTATCACCATATTATTTGACTAATTAGTGAAATAAAGCCTATTTTCTCGATTGAATTTCAAAAAAGTTAATTACGAGTCAATGAGTTTTGATGGATTTGAGGCAATTGGCGGGCCTCTAAGTTTCCAAATACGAGTACATGAGCAGTTTGGTCATGGAATTTTGATGAGAATTATAAATTGTTGTGATAGGAAGGCTAAGGTTAAGGACCACTCTAGTATAGTTGAATACTTGAGCCACAAGTTGTCATTTTGTGAGTGGGAAATTACGCAGGCTAAGGAGAAAGTGACCGAAAGTTTCGTTGTTAGCTTGTTACTGTATTGCTTTAGTGGGTGATATCATTGGTATATTGCCATTCTGCTGGTATTTTTAGTAACGCTAATAATCATTCCACAGGGTCTTGTCCCTAAATAACTCGAAGAATCAATTACAACCTGTTCGTGAAAAACACATGGAATTAACCTTACAACAAAAATAAGTAGTACGGAGTAATAAGTTTTTGAAATATGATAAATATGACGTAACAACAATCTTGATATACTAAACAACGTAAACTTACTTAACTCGGGTGAAAGAATAGTAGATTACAGTACCTTTTAAGGCGTAAGGGGTGTTTCGGTCCATGGAGTGGCTCTTAGGATTGTGTGGTAGTTAAGAAGGTTTTGGTAAATGGGAATATGGGGTGGTGGGAGACCAAGACCCTTTGGAATTGGGAGGAAATACTTTTGTTTTTGTATGGGTTTCTTGAGATTCCATTGACGTGCTTTTAGCCAGAAACATTCTCAAGGAGTATATTGCAGGTACTGTAGTATAATACTAGTATCACTACTATAGTTTGACCCACCTATCTACAGTACTCTCGTATTTTTATAAAAAATATTTTAATGTTTTCCACTGTACTTTTTTTTTTTTTAAAAAAATTTGATTTCTTCGTTATGTTGCTCACTTAAATCCTCTCTTTTTCCCCTCTTTAGCAAACATGAACATGACCTAGCTGCTGCTTGTTGGGTATAAACACACATGAAAATGTGCTGTGTGCATAATAAGTTTTTTTTTTTTTTTTTTTTTTTTTTTGTGCATAATAAGTTAATGAGCTAATGTTAGTAATGTACTTTTACCTCATGTAACAATATACTCCCTCGGATATAGAATTATTTTGGATATTTAGCATAGTTTGCCATCCAGACAATGTATTTATTTATTTTTATCTTTTGTGGTAATTTTCATCCCTATTTACATATACTCCATATAAATTTTTTAAAAATTTAGTACAAGTGTCTCTAACATCTGTTGAAAATAAAGGTCAAATATGTAAAAGTTAAACCCAAAAGAATATATGATATATATACTACAATTTTTTCCTTTTTTAGTATAAATATTTGCAATACATGCTTGTTCTAAATTATTTTTATATTATTAAAGTATATTGTCTTCCCATTATTCGGCCATAAAATCAATCCTATATTCCTATGGGACCATTTGGTTCGCGCAGGGAAATCGAAATAGGACGAAGAAAGGGAATGAAGGAGAAAGGAATGAATTGACCTTGATTTAGCTTGGTTGTATAGTTGTGTTCTAAAAACAAAATGAACTGCTCATTGATTTCCTTTATGACTGTTTAGTAAGAGTACAAGTTGGCCAAAAAACAAATGGGCATTATGTTCTTGTTAATTCATGAGTTATGATATAATTTTTTTATAAAAAATAAAATAGACATAACCTGATAGTGTAGGTCATTGGCCGGAAAAATAAGCTCAGGCAGATCAAAATACCCACTTTGTTAATGTTGAAACTTCAAAACCCAATTTGTAACAAAGCCCAAAGTTAAGGACCCAATTAACTTCAAATACAATTGGAGTTGTTCACTCAAAATATCCGTCGGTCCGTCCGATACACGTAGCAGTAGGCCAGCTGGCCAGTAGTATTCAGATTGGGCCAAATCGCCAAACATCAAAATAGAACGCATCATCATTCTTCCTTTTCTTAACGCTAAAACCCTAAACCCCAATTCTCTCTTTCCCACGCTTCTCTCTGGTAATCTCCTCACCTTCTTCAATGGAGAATTCAACGACGACTCAGAAAGAAGAAATTGAAGTAGACGAAGATAACCAGAGCTTTGAGGAACTAAGCTTGGATCCTCGTCTTCTTCGAGCTCTTATTAAGAAAGGAATCGAAAAGCCAACACCAATTCAGCGTGTCGCCATTCCCCTAATTCTCGTAAGTTCTTCTTCTACATTCGTTAATATTCAAATTAAACCCTAATTTTCAACGAATTTGTTCACAAATTGGGTGAATTTGAACAGGAAGGTAAGGATGTGGTTGCCAGAGCTAAAACTGGGTCAGGGAAGACATTTGCGTATCTACTTCCATTGCTCCAGAAACTATTTTCCGATACCGGCTCGAATAACCGCCTCGGTCCTTCCGCATTAGTTCTTGTTCCGACCCGAGAATTATGTCACCAGGTTTTGAATTTAATTTATTCATGCTTTCATTTTTCTAATGTGGGTTTAATTTGGGGATTTAGGGTTTTTGATTTGTGATTAAAATTTATACAGGTTTATTCCGAAGTGAATTCTATTATAGAATTGTGTAGAGCTCAGTTGAAAGTTGCTCAGCTTACTAGCACTATGTCAACTATTGAGATGGTTAGTTGTCATTTATAAGCTCTTTTTTTAAGTTGTTCGTTTTTGCTGTAATTTGAGCATGTTATCAATGATTGATGTCGTTTGTTTGTAAATTCTATCAGAAGCAGGCGCTGTCCGGCCCTGCGGATATTCTGGTGTCAACACCTGCTTGTGTGCATACTTGTTTGAAAGCTGGTGCTCTTCAACCGAAAGCTATTCAGGAATCGCTTTCTATGCTGGTTCTCGATGAGGTTAATCTTGATTTTAGTATCTCTTTGTTGTTGATACTTGTTGTCTCTCTTTTTTTTAGAGCCGAGCAAGCTGTGGAGCGTTAATGTACGGAGTATTAGTTTAGGCTAGCAGTTATTTGTGGCACTGATTATTTTCCATATTTATAAACTTGTGTTTATGTTCAGGCAGATCTTCTGTTGTCTTATGGATATGAAGATGATCTAAGATCTCTTACAGCCCATGTCCCTAGACGTTGTCAATGCCTCTTGATGTCAGCTACATCAAGGTTTGTTCTTTTTTATATTTATTAATATTTTTTTTCCTTACTTGATTCATGAATTTCTGTTTTCTTTCTTGGCTCTTTAAGATTGATCAACGAATAGTTTTTCTAGAAGTGAATTCCATGGGGATAACACTTATATATGTATTTATAATTTATTAATATGCCTGATTAATATTTCTTTATTACCTATATAGTGCTGATGTTGAGAAGCTGAAGAAACTTATTCTACACAATCCCTATGTTTTGACTTTGCCAGAGGTTGGTGGTACCAATGATGAACTTATTCCTAAAAACGTGCAACAGTTTTGGGTAAGAGTTATTTTGTATCTATTATGATCTAAACCCCATACTTCATTTTGATAGAGCATCCCTGTTTTTGTGTCAGCTTAATTATCATCAAATGTTGAGAATTAAACTGATGAATCATAAATAATTTACGAAGAAACTCCATGAACTAGCATGTGGATTTCAAATAATACAAAGTGACAGAAAACTTATATATTATGGATCTTTGAGTGGGAAAGACTTATGACCCCTTAAAAATTGAGACAGTCAATACTGAAGAGTAGGAGAATGCCTACTGCATTAGTCATTTGAAGAAATATACATGTACTGTGTTTTTGTGATGGGGATAACTTCGATGTGGTGCTGTCTCGATGCCTTTGTTTTTTCAATTTTACTTTTTGTTTTGCGTTAGATATTGATTGTAGGGTGATGTGAACACCAAGTTGATCTTTCTACTATTATCCTGTAAACAATAAGCAAAACAAATTCTTGTTCTAATTATGACTCAAAATGACTTTGCAGGAAGTTCAGTGAATTAAATATGTGTTTTGTTGTTTGTTTAATAAGTATACTCATGAACAAATTCATCTCTCCATGTGTTTCCTCGTGATTTTAATGTTTATGAAAGTTTAGGAATCATTGTGTTCCCTTTTTTTTTTGCCCAATGTGTGTTTGTTGTCAGTTATGGGTTATGTGCTGCTTTTATATTCTTTATGTAATAAATTTACTTTTCTTTTTTCCCCCCCCTAGATTTCTTGCAGTGCTCATGATAAGTTCATCTACATTCTTGCCCTTTTAAAGCTGGAATTGGTTCAGAAGAAAGTACTCATCTTCACTAATACAATCGACATGGGATTTAAGTTAAAACTCTTTTTAGAAAAGGTATTGCTAATTATTTTTTTTTATTTTTTTTTTACCTTCACAATGACTGATAATGATGTGCTCGTTTTCGGATGTTTGACATAATGTAAATGAACTTTCATTTTGATTATTAATGACTGAATTGAGGATATAAACTTTGGGCCAAGTGTCGTTGAACCTTGCTCAAAGTTTGATTAAATGTGGCCACAGTAGGTAATGTTGAGTACTGATTTCATGTCAAGATTTTTTTAAAAATATTTACATTTGTATGGCAGTTTGGTATCAGATCAGCTGTTCTAAATGCTGAGTTGCCCCAAAATTCTAGGCTTCATATGCTTGAGGTATGAGCTGTCTCCGCCATTGCTTTAGCCTTC